TGGGTGGATTGCAGAACCTGAAAGTGAGAGAGGTCTCTTCCAGGCCTTACGCAAATGTACCCTGTCCAGGGTGCTGAAGCACTCATTATATCTTGCCTTGACCATCACCCTGTATTTACTTGGCCATGAGGGGGCTTGATTTGAGCTGAAACAAAGGTCCTTCAGCATGATATTGAGTAAAACTTGAACATTGTATGGAGTAAGCCAATTTGGGAGACCATGCCAAGTATTTACCAAACATCTCTTCCTCATCCTCCAGAAAACTGAACGAATTGGGCTTGTGCTCTGATCCTGCACTGTTTTAAAATGGCTACATTTATTTATCTATTAATTCATATGTGTTTATGTACAGTTTTACATATAACCTTTTACATACCGTTTTACATACAACTCCTTTCTGCCTTTAGGAGATGTTGGAACTTTCTTTGATGAGACTTGGGTTTTGTTTTAATTTTAAAAAATCGTGGGAGAGGTGGTCCAAAGGATGCTGCCTAGGAGCATTGTATTTTTTGTAATATAAATTTTATTAAAAGTTTTAAAGACAACATAAAAACTAACACAAACAAATGCAGTATAAAGAAAAAGAAAATGAGAAATAAAAAAGAAAAAAGTGAAGAAAGAAAAGATAAACAGAAATAAAAAGAGGAAGCTTCTAATTTCCTTTGCAGCAAATATAAGTAAATGACAAAGTTATCTCTTACTCTATGATTACAAAAAAAGGCTCACTTTTTTCTATTATCCAATCCAAGGAGCATTGTACATGTTGCGGGGTTTACAGGATGTCTTCTTCCTGAGCCCTGAGCTGAGGTATCACAGGAATAGGGTTTTGGGGGCTACAATGGGACTAAATCATATTTAGCATTGCTAGTAGCTTTCTAATTCTTCTACAATTAGATGTTGGAATGTTATCATTCCCAGAACAATAAAATTGCATATTGCTTTCTGCATGTATTATTTTGCAAACGTTCTGGATTCTTTTAGGAGGAAAAAAAAGAGTATACAAATAAATAAAACCCTTCCTCCTCCTCCATGCAGTTTCCCATTTAGTTGTTTTTTGAAATATTCTTTTAAGGGAAGAACTTGGTGTCAGGAATGAGCCCTCGGTGAACACCAGGTTGCTGCTTCCTGCTCCTGCTGAATACCCCAGTAAGCAAGTGTGAAACCAAGACAGACAAACAAACGATTCTGTTTAGAATAAGGATGGGTAATTGCTATATCCTACATGTTCCTATTAAACTGGCCTATCTTTGGATGTAGATGGTTCCTTGCCTGTCTCCAGGAGATCTGGTTTAGATTATTGTGAGCCAAGAGAAGCTAAATTAGACCCTAGTGAGATCTAGTTCCTCCTGGATGGGCTTCAGAAACTGTGGTCAACCACTGCTCCAGGTCTAAGAGAAGTAGGAGTTACACCTCTGTGTTACTCTGAGTAGCTGGCACAGGGGTAGTTATTGCCTATGAAATTATATTTACCAGGGTCCCGGGGATGGAGGGTGATGGAGTAATATCTTCTCCTTCCCTTCACGTCCTATTATAGAGGTAGAGCTGGAGTAACAGCAGGAAGGCAAACAGATGTATGGGGGAAGTGGTTGGAGACCCAGATTTGTCAGATAAAAGAAGTTAGAGGCAGTGGGTAAGAGAGCGTGTGATTGAATTCTTAGGCTTAGATTAAAATTTGATATTAAAAAAAATGCAGTGGTGAGCGGGGGTTTGCCTTGTACCAGCTGCTGAAGTTTCTATTCTGAGCTAAGGTTATGAAGCTTGATGGCATCTCTAGATTAGATGTTGATTGGAGAACTGATGATGGGGTGTTCGATGGTGACCTGGTGATGTTTTCTGATCTTCTGCTCTGTTGCTTTCTTGGACAGCTCTGCTGAAAGACTGGGACAACTGCCAAGCTGATGAGAGGACCCCCAGCTATGAATACTGAGGACCTTGGCTCCATTACCTCCTGAAGTTAGACATGGGCCATTTCTGGTCCACAGCACTCCTTCAAAACGGTCTCCAGGGCCTTCTTTCAGTTCCCTCCACGGCTTCTGTCTTTGGGTTCTAGCCAGACAACATCCAGAGCAGTGGAAAGCATGCTCTGTTATCTCAACTCTTTTTCACAGAGTGCGCCCTTGGGGATGGCAGGCAAACAGACTATGATGGCAAGGAGGGGGCCTGGGGGTACTGGCTCTAGGGAACGCTGTGATCCCAGCAGGGTTCCAACAGTTGGCATTGCATGAGTGGCCTAGAACAAAGCAGCGGGTTCTCCACTGGGAGATGTTGCATTTGAGTTCATGTAGAATCTCCGATTGTGAACTTCCCATCATCAAAGTGATTGCTGTGTTTATTTCCAAGCCGATATCCTTGTGTATGATTTTCCCTTTCCATTTTCTGGAAGCAAATCCTGTAGTTTAATTAAGTCTGTTGTGACTGGGTTTGGGTATTAATAGCAAAAGAGGAAAATTCCCTCCCTCCCTCCCTCCCTTCCCAGACCTTGTGGTCAAGAAGCTCTTTTCTTTCTAGTTACCCAGAGAAATGCTAGCCAAGATCTGCCTTGCGATTTCTTAAAAGATTTGTTCCTCTGTCCCCCCCCCCCCAAAAAAGATGTGTTTTCTTTATTCTCCAGGTGCTTGAGAATTTCTTTTCATTTGTTCTTGGGAGTGCTTTTGAGCTTCATCGTTGGAACATGGTAGAAAGGTTTACGGCTGGTTGTGTTGTTTTGTGTTAGACATCTTTCCATCACTCTGCCGTGTGGTGGGCAGTTCTACTTTCCTATCAGGGAAAGGATTCAGAGCAGAGGGTGTCTTCCTTGACACTGAATTGAAATGTGAGAAGCAGAGGACCAGTAGACATCTGGAAAGAATGTCGTTCAATGAAAGCCACGGAATCTCTTGACCAACTTGGAGCTAAGGAAGTGCAGAAGGGGCCTACACCACTCATGAGAATTTCACTGGAATTCTTTTATTCTGAAGATAACTTTGAAAGCAAATTCTCTTCCATCAGATTGAACAGAGGCTGGTTAGGGAGAATATACAGAATTTTTCTGCACAGTACTAACCCATTCAGAGCACAAAGTGAAGTGTGTAAGGATAGTGCATAGTATGCTCCTTCTCCTTCTCCTTCTCCTTCTCCTTCTCCTT